AGAGAGATAAACTCTAACTTAACATCTGATGTAGCGTTAGCGTTTGAGCTGAGTTTAAATCACGGATTTCAGTTCTGGTTTTTTTTCTTTCAAACCTCTGAACTATAGTTCTTTATGACAATATTGTTTGTCGTTCGTGAGTCACAATTTGATGTTGGTTCAAATTGGAACATTAAACGGCACCAGCTAAGATGGATTTGCTTCTCATTTCATATAGAATAAAAACCTTTTATATGTATGAAATGAACAATATACTCGACAAGGGTTTGAATGTAAAGCTAACGAATGAAAATATTGTTGAATTGCATGAGACAGGAGGAGCTGTGTATAAAGATGTAGAACTACTGAAACAAAAGAGCTAAGGGAAGAAGCAGGAACATGAACAAGGGTGGAAGCCTATAAAAATTTATGTCAATGATGGCTCAGGAGGTTCAAACATAAAGTATGCAGAAAGTTATAGAGTTTATGCTCTCAAAGGTGAAAAGCCTTCATTTAAGAACAGCTATTCTAAACGCATATCCTCAAAATGCTAACGGATGGGGAAGTGGATGATATGAATGACAGCAAAATATTAACAGAAATGGCGACGAGATGCATGGAATTTGTTACCATCAGTCAATTGAAGGTTAACTTTAAAACAATGTTGGTCGTTCCCATGGAATATTTTTAGATCTTATGGTATTGGTCATGGATATGAGATCTCAAAGGTATGAAAGGAGAAGAGTGTAGTCATATGTATCTACAAATTGTCTTCACAAAAGGTAATGTTATACCTGACTGTTTCCAAATGAGTTCAATGTCATAGCGTGAGAAAACCTTGAAAGATAACGAAGTCAGTTATGAGACGTTTTATGTTAATAGCAAGGAACGGCCAATGTTTGCATAAGTATTGCTACAGTTAGTGGTAATGTCTGACTTTAGTTATGATGTTAGCTAATGGTGAGTCTGGTTTTGACACTAAACCTTTTCCGGCGAAAAGTCGTCACAAACTAATAAAGTGTTGATGGATATTTTTTGAAGGGGTATTTTGAAAAGTTTTGACAGAATGAGTTTGTAGATCGTTTCATATCGTAAACTCCTGAGTATTGACGTAAGTGGTGTTTGTCAATAATTCTTTCCATCTCCTCAGAAGTCTTTTGCATTCTGACTGTATAAATTCAACGATGGCATAATATTCCTCTTACGTCGAATGTAACGTTGAAGAAATTCAATGAGTTCACTGTCTGGAACTTAACGACAGAGGCTTGAAACTTTTGACATAAAGATTTTTCGCTGTTGAGTCCTAGAGTCTGAAGTTGCTGATATAATGATTTGGTCATAATATGAGTCATTTCCTAAACGTTCTGTATGAGTATATGACGAATGAGGTTAAATGTCTTACTGAACCATCTTTCCACAATAAAGATAAACAATTTGAGACAGAATCTATAGTCCTTTACTGAAGGAAGAATGAGAGAAGAGTTAAGTTTGTCTGATGTTCATTCATGTCTTCATCACGTCATGTATATAAATGCTTCATTTTATCTCCATTAAAATGCAAGTCAGAAATATTCAGAAAGCACCGAGTCTAACTGACAAGAGTATAAAGATATACTATGAACACGTTATGATGAAACCAACCAAAATTCAAGAAAAGTCAGTATATCTTATGAAAATACCAAGACACTGGTAGAGTATGTAGGAGGTGAGAAAGCTATTGAAATCAGACAGGTTCGAAGTATTCCAGCAGGAAGAACAATATTATTGAAGAACTTTAATGTTTTGAGATATAATGATGAAACAAAGAAGCAAGATAGTTTCCTCTGTTGCTGTGTATGTGAACTTAGATACAGGAGATGACATGAAAAGTTTTTAATAACACAAAGCTTCAAACGGTAGTGAGAGAAAAACTGACTGCGGAAGGACATCCATTACCTTCAGAAGTTACCATAGCATATAATTTTGAAACAAACTCAATAGATTTTAAAGTCATCTCTGCAAAGAAGTCAGGTTTTACATTTAATGAAGCAGATGTATATTTCGAATGAAAACTTCAAAGCTATTGCATGGTTAGATAATGACGATTGCTTTAAGAAAATCTTTAAATTCTGTGACTCAAAGATGTCAATAGATGACCTTCGTGGAATGTTACCATCGACGTTTACAGTAGAAGGTTCAGCAGGATTGCTTACAAGATTGTCAATTGGTGGTATTTGGTCTCGTGAGACATTGTTATAAAATCCAGTATAAGTGAATTTGCTGAAGAATCTATATTATGTCTTTCAAACTACATGTATTCGCCGCCAAAGCATTATAGTATAAACAAACTTTGTCAGTAAGTTTAACATAAGACTTGTCGAACCTTCTTCAATGAAAGATGTTGTGCTACCGCAAGACGGAAAGGATGGACTCATTATTGAGATGATTTTAATAGCATATTAAATGAGCTTGTTCTTGAAGGTCATTCATGATGAAATAACTGTTGTAGAAGATGTTAGCAATTGTTCAGACATTTGAAGCGTATAGATGAATAAGAGAAGAGTTAGATAGACCGCAAAGCGTGCGGGCGAAGCACGTGAGAACGCTTATGTTCATTGACTTTCTCCAGTAACGAGAACTTTTATGAGATAATATTGAAGAGAGATGATTTTAATATGGTGTAAATGGTAGCTTGGGCAGCTTTAGGCGCAATGGGAAAAAAAGCATTAGCATTTGGAGCAAAAGCACTTGGAGCTTATGACGCAGTAAATAAAATGAGTGGAGGAAGGGTTTCGAAGACATTAGATGCAAATAAAAGGAAAGATTGGAGGCTGGGTTGCAAAGAAGTTAAGATTAAATAAAATAGGGCTCATAAATAAAGCATCTAATTTGGTTGCGACTGAGTCAGAAAATGCTTTAGGAAAGGACGATGAGTTTGCAAAAACACGCAAAGACTTTAATGACCAGATGAAAGGTGAAACAATGCATTTTAAATAGATTCGATGGAACTAAAGAAAATGTTTCTTCTCCACCAGTAAGTTCTTCCGTATGGTCCCTATGGAATGTATGGAAACCCTTACGAAAGACCATTTGACCCATTGACTGGTGGAAGTAACTGGTATCATTACGGACGAAGAAGAAAGACAGTCAAGTTGGAGACAGACGTGAAGAAAGCAACTAAAAAAGAAACCAAGGAAGAGAGTTATAAAGCAATGAATATTAAGTGGGTGAAAAAAGAGGTGAAAAAAGAGGTGAGATCTCACACTTCACCTAAATTTATTTTTGTGCTATGTTTTTCATACGTGTGAGGGTGGTGATATCATTAATTTTTTAAGTTTATTTTTTAAAAGTTTATTTTTATTTTATTTGGATGTAAATGACGAAGAAACTATTGAGATAACAAACTACAACGGTCATGAGTTCAAGAATTTGTTCTTCGTTCCTCGTGAAAATACATTCTATCAGATACGAGGGAGAAAGGGTAAAGTTAGTTTGAGCGTTTATGACAACAAACATAATGGGAGATATATAAAAGCAATAGA